CAGACACCCTACGGAGGGTCCCTAAAGTTGAGAATGATTCAATGGTAGTCAAGTTTGGGTGTTTACACTTTATATTTGGACTTCTAATATATAGGAGCTCAAGGAATGCATGTTAGTGTTGATGCTGTGAGCATATGGCCCCCTCTCCAGCCCAGGGTCACCATCCCTACCCCTAGTACGATAAACAGAATGGGTTAAGTAGTCCTAGGAAAGAAAAGTGATGAAAACGATTACAAATTGGCAATCACAACCCCTCGAAGATCGACATCATTACTCAGCTCCAGCATAACACTATCAAGTGGGATTATAAGCTCTAGGCTGACCGATTTTCCATTCCATAAAAGCTAGAAATTTCTATTTTTTTAAACTTCTATTTTCATGTTAAATATAATTTTTTATTAAATAATCACTTTATTAGGGGCTCATACAACAAATATAATTTTTTTAAATGGTAGGCATTCACTGAGGTCAGAGTCTACATCTGATTGATTTAACAGAGTATGACAAATACCAGGTATTCAAATTTTTTTTGAATAAAAAGTTCCCTTATCTGCCGTCTTCCTCCCTGTAGGCTGAAACACGATAGTAACTGGTGGAGGATAAAAATTTATGTGATTGTCTTGAGTGAGTTAGTTGTTCCAGTGTTTCATTTCTCCATCTTAAGCTGAACTCTAAACAACATGAAGGCAAAGGTCATGTTATCCATCATGTTAGTGTCCACACGGTGCCTGGCCTAGGTTTCAGAAATACTTGCTGCCATTGAGCCAGTGACTGAATGCATGAAAGCCTGATCAAGCAGCCAATTTACCTTTAGACTGTGAATTTACTTTTAAAATTAAAATGTCCACACAACCAGTTCGGTTCTTGGCACACTGATCTAAGATAAGGGAGAGGAGAGTATCCTGAATTTGCTTTATATGGCAAAATAGGTGGAATAACATGGGAGAGGCTGTGTGGGATATGACTTTGAAAACATCACAACTCTTTATGGTAGTCTTGTCCTAATTTGTGGCTGTCAGACTCTCAACCCATTCCAGAGACTGTCCACAAATTTTACACTTCCCTTGTGTAGGATTTCTTTCTCCCACGGTGTCTGGGGGCTGGCTTCTGCGGGATGGTCTCTGGAAATCAGTAGTTAGGTGTCTCAGTGGTGGGCACCAGCTTGCTCTTTCTTCTTCTGAAGCTCCTCCCGCCTCCTTGTCTGCTGCTCACTCATGCAGTCCCTGAAGGCCTGCACCTGCGGCTGGCACTGCCTCCAGTCCTGGTTCTGGGCCATGCACTCCTGTACAGCATAGTGGGAAGCAGCACAGCCAGATCGGGAGATCAGCTGGTCCAGTGGGTCCTCTTCCTCGTCCTCCTTCTTCACCTGTCGGGCCCAGGTATGGCCATGAGGGACTGAGGTTGACATCTTGGGGGTCTCTAGAATATCAAGACAGGCACAGTTACAGCAGGGACACAGTATATTGGAGGACCCTCTATTATAAACAGCACCACTACATCTTGGTGATGTATCTGCCATCCCTAGGAGACTGTATGCTCTTTGAGGACAGAGACTGGGCCTGATTTGCCTGGGTGCCCTAGCACTAAGCCTGGCAGACAACAGAACTGCACAGTAGTTTGAACTGAATTGAATGAGGTAAAGTGTGAGAAGGCTTAGCACAGCAATGGATTCTGCTAATGAAATTTGAATTCACTAAAAGTCACCTTGACACCATTTCCAATCTATTCCTCTTAACCTTATTCTATGCCTGGAGAAGAGAGGTTAGCACTTGAGTACCCAAATACAGGTATTTGGGTACTAACACAGTGGTTCTCAACCCACAAGGTTGGGGGTCGAATGACCCTTTCATAGGGGTCGCCCAATTCATAACAGTATCAAAATTACAGTGAAGCAGCAGCAGCAAAAAAAAATTTTATGGTTGAGGGGGGTCATCACAACATGAAGAACTGTATTAAAGGGGCACAGCATTAGGAAGGTTAAGAGCCACTGGTCTAACACATGGGAGAAATGGAGAGTTCAGTGTGGCTGCATGATCAGTGATTACACGTTGGACTGCTAACTACAAGGCAGCAGTTAAAAACCACCAGCCACTCCGTGGGATAAAGACAAGGCTTACTACTCCCAGAAAAAGTTAGTCAAACAATATGGCTGATCCCACTACGAGCACGCCATCCCTTAATGGCCCAGGGCCCTAAGGGGACAACACTGGAGACTCAGTGTCGGGACTGGCCCAGACTGACCCTGTGACACCGAGGCAAACCACTAAAAGCATGCGCGGCAGAGTAACCGTGGGAGCAGAACAGGTAGCCCCTGAGGGGGTACAAAGGACAGACTCTGGGGCCAGAGCATGGTACTCCATTGGACTTGATTGAAGGACATACTTAGAGATCAAAAATCAAACCTTGATCTATTTACAGGTTTTTCTTTCTGTTTAAAAAATTTTTCTTTTGATTAATTTATTCTTCTATGGGTAATTGGTTTCCTTTTTTGTTGTCATCGCTGTGTTCTCACTCATCGCCTATCTTGCTATGGCTTGATTTTTGGTGCATATTAGTATCTCTACAGATCTATCTAGATAAGACAGACTGGATGAATAGTCAGGAGGAGAAAACAAC